TGGCTCCAAAACTGCAAATAGCACCACCCGGCATAGCCCAATGGATCGTTGAGGCTCGGAGACCGCAGCACCACCTTACGGTCCTGCCTAGCAATGGCTTTGTATAATTAACCCTACTGTGGACCTAGTGGACGTTTGCATTGTTTGTGGTGTGCGTCTTCCTCTGTTTACCAGTGTATTTCCTTTCGACCGTTGCCAGTTGTTTAGATTCCATTGACTCTTCTGCTTTACCCGTCTTGTAGGTTTTTAAAGTTGCCGCACCTCCAGCGAGATTATTTTTCACACGTTTTGTTATCGGCTTGTTGGTGTTATCTCTCATAAATTCACACCCGGAGGTCTCTGTACTTTTTAATGGAATGGATCCGGGTTCTAACTTATTTTCCCTGTGTTGCTTGTTGCCAAATCTTAAGTGTTTTAGGACTTTGATTGAAAGCTATTCCGTGCCCCGTCTACTTCGACTTCTATATTCCACTTCTGAATTTGTGCACTTCCATAGAGGATACCGCAGTAGTAAGTGCAGCTGCAGAGACACTATAATAAATCTGCCGGATGGTACATGTTATTTAGTGCCTTGGCTTCTTCACGTACCGAACTATTCTGTTTCACCTTTATTGGTACTCGATTCGCTTGGGATGGGAATGCAGAAATCACATACTTCCATTTTGGGACGCTCAACAGTCGGTTCATTGGGAGCAGTTATTCCTAACATCACAACGAATCAAAGCCTAATTGCGACTTAGAGTTCTAGTCTTAACATAGTGACCGAATTGATCAGCTGCACCTCGCCCCTCCCTCTCACCTCATCCACCAGTGTGGCCCAAACCATTTCAACATAGCTCCCTACTTGTATCACCACGTGCTGTTTCTTGTTGCCGTGACTTCACTACCTGATACATGTAGGGTTACATCAACGGATGCTCCGTTCGATTTTCGTTGTCCTTGAGCGTTTGATTAGTTCCCTTAGTTTAATAAAGTGGTTGCATACGTTTCGCGAGCTGACATCGTCAGTGCGGTGACGTTCAGTTGCAGTTTTGGTGATTGAATCTTCCACCCGTGAACGACGGGCAGGTGACTTTTGAAAGTGACCTCTTCGATTTGTTACCCGTAATCTTTGCCCATTGTTCCCCGCAGCTGAGTCGGTCGCTTGAGTTGTTCGTCGCCTGTCCCGTTTCGAACTTTGCCTTTCGATTCGCTGTTGGTCGTTCCTTCTGAGCGTTTTGTACTTGTGATTGCGTATGTTGATCGAATTATTGGAGGAGAACCAAGCTTCTAGGAATTTCATTTCTTTTTGTCTCTGCTTGAGTTAGATCCTCCGTTCTGTTCCAGCGGAAGCTATGGCCATCCTCATCCACGTGTACTGAGACCAGTGACGAGGCTTAATGTTTTTTGCAGGTTCTTTGATGTCCTTGTATCCTGGTCGATAATTTCCTTCGTGTCTGTCCTACACGCTTCTTTTCACAATTGTTGCAATTCCTTGTATACACGACGTTTGTTCGTTTTCGTGTTTCTAGCTTAACCTTTGTGTTTGACAGTGTTCTCAACGTGGCGGTTGGCTTGTTGGAAAACATGAAACAGCGTCGTTTAAACAGTCTAGCCGTCATTTCAGATATGTTCTTCATATACGGCAAAACAATCCGATTGCTTACCTTTGGCATCGACTCGGTGTTTGTTGCCTGTACGGTTGAAGCTTCGTGGATATCCGTTGCGCTCAAATGAATTGCATAGGTGTTTCTTATTCCCGTTTAGCTTCCACAGTACTGTAAAATCGGGTAACTTTGGTGCACACTTTTTAGTTTAGCATGCATCATACATTTAACAGTGCTTTCGATAACATTATTAAGAGAGCTGTTCATGGGCTATACTGTTATAATGCTGTCGAAAATATTGACTGATACAGTTCTGTACCCATAACTCGGTTATTTTAAAATAGCTGCTACGGCCAAAGTTACCCCTTAGCGGGATACTTTGGCCATGATGACAACACACACAGAACCAATGTTAAATTACACAAGGGTCAGATAGACTAGAGTTTCTATGTAAAAATATTGCTAAACGCATCTATAACATTATTAAATACTTAGGCAAATATCTCAAAAATGTTTTCTCGAGTTCGGCAGGCCCTCTTTGTTGGTGGAGCACACTCGTCATCAGAATCAGAAAAGATTTCTAGTCGGTTGTCACTGACATCACCGATGGACAACAAGTAATCGGTTTCTCTTAGCTAAACTTTGGCTGCCGAGCCATTTTTGGTTCAGCACAAAGTTCGATTCCGGTAACAACCTCTTCGGTTGGACGAATACACTTTTCCCAGTTTGGAACTCAGCTTTTTTACGTTGTGGTAAATTTTCTTCACCATTGGCAAGGCGCATTTCTTTCAGTGCTTGCTTACCTACCTAGGAAATGGAGGTGCTGATGTCATATGCATCTTCTTCATTTTCCTCTGGAATTCTACTCAGGACAGACTGCGGATTAATTGGGTACATGCCAGTTTTCCTAAACTCCGACCCGCAAGTTTTTTATAATTCCTTCGCCCATGGCATCTAGTTGTGTGGGGTTCCCCGGAAATCTATACTTCTATACGGTTTGGGACATATTGGCGCAAGAGTTTTTATTTTTTCTCAGCATGGTCCTCCATTTGGTCTCCATAGGGCGAACGAATGCTACATCTATAGGCTGGTGGAGTTGGGTTGCGTTAAGTGGGAGGCAACAAACAGCAATGTTGTCTTTGTTGCAGAATCTGACAATGTCAAGAGAAAAATGTGAACTGAGATTGTCACCCAAAAGGACACAACGGCTAGTTTTTCTACGGCAGAAGGGTAATGCCACATGTTAAAATCAGTCAAAAGCAGACGTTGCCAAACAAGCCTGGTCATGATCAGTTATGTCGTCTACCTGGTGGATCATTCTCCGTCCAAGTTTCAACCAAAGCTTTTCGGCTTTGCACACTGCATATGGCGGCAGTAACCCTCCATCAACGATACCAGCAAACATCAGGCTAATTTTTGCCTCTGACGGGTTCATTATCCTCACATGATTTCGCTGCCTCTTTCCAAGATTACTTGGCCTACGTTACCCAAAAATAACAAAGCTTATTGGGTTAACATTGGCCACAAAAACAGTAGCATAATGCATGATAAATGTGCTTGAACAACATCATCTATGTTTACTAATACTTATTCACAAAGCGACAACAGAGATGATTATACTTACACTTTCTCAGAAACATGATTCACCGATGAAAGAATACCGTATGTTAAACACGTCATACCACCGGCCATCTTTGACAAGAAGTATACGCAAGACTGAATATTCCAGTTCATCATAAAATGATTTCAACTTAATAAAGAGTGAATTTTCAACACATAAAACCAATTTTCCCACACAAAAGAAGAACAATAGGTGTAATCTGTTTTACAATGCTTTCATGTTGGCCCAAGGTTACAGAGTGTTTTTGTTACGGAACTGGCATAGCTCTGCCAAACTTGCGCAGATTTCTCCTGGCTCGCCTGAGACATAAACTCACTATGCAGCGACTCAGACTGCGTTAGAAACAATAGAGCCATTCCCATGGTTCTAGGGACTAAGCAACAAGGAACCCGCACGCCGCACGCATGCATTTGTTGTGCATACTGCAGTGAGCCCACTGAGCTCTCCTCATGACACTACTGTCTCTATCGTGTCCGGCCTTGCGAACATCCACTTTTCTCTAAAGTCTGTGCCATTCTATTAAGCTATAAAAATGAAGGTGTAGAAGACGTACTTCGCCTTGGCTGTGTACAAGAACTTTTGCCAACGACCAGTCCCTCTTTTTCGTCCGGGTCTTAATACACTCGTGCTAGGTTGCGCGTATTCGTTTCCAGTCTTAGCTCGCGTGTACCTCTGGCGGCTTGGTCTCGTTAGCCCGCAAGGTTACGAATTTGATTGGCTACACTGCTCGCATGGGGTACTATCTGTCCGTTCCGACTAAGAGTCGAAACAACTAGGACTCGTTATAAGTTTCAGTTCTGCGAAATAGCGTCTGTACGCCGCTTATTTTGTGGCACCTTGGGTGGTTACTGTTGAATTTCAAGGTTTGGTCCGTAAGTATGGTTCGACTAGAACAGAAGGGAAATTCTCGCTTAAGTAAGGAAACAGAAAGGAAGGGAATCCCTAGAATCTTGATTCACTAATAATTCAATTATCATGCGTATTCATATCGGCCCCAAGTATCGACAACTCAGGAAGAAAAACCTGCGAATCTAAAGACAAAGTTCGAGACGAGATACGCGACGAACAACTCGAGCGACCGCTTCAGCCGCTAGGGAAAATAGGTGAAGATTCCGGGGCGTCACTTGCCCGTCGTTTACGGATGGAGGATTCATTCAGAAAGATCGCCCATTGCACATCACGGCTCTGACGATGCCGCACTGTATGGTGGCGAAACATATGCAACCACTTTATCATGCTCGACGAACCAATCAGCAGCTGGGCGGCCAACTTGGGCTGCAAGTGTTTCACAGTATTTCGTTGTTCTGTCACCGCGAGTTCTTCACCCCATGGGCCGCTAACGATATTACGTTCGAAGCGACTCATACATCCCAACTTCCTACCGATAGGCCCATGAACATTTGATGGAAAATCCAGCTCATTTGCTGCATGATAACCTTAAAAACCAATTAGAATTGTCTTATTTCGTTTGGATTTGACTTTTATTGACTCCACTAGGAAAGGTGTCTTATCATACATGGCCTTCATTTCTGCCCATTTCACTGTATTCGTCTTGTGATCGTGTTCGTGGGTGAAATCTACTTTACTTCCGTTACTTTCTCATCGATTTTCAGACACAGCAAATCGTCTTAACCCTGTGCAATCCGGCTCATCGCATCACAACAGTCTCGCTGCGCCAGCTTACTACGGAAGAGGAAGTCAAGTGTCTGAGCCACTTGGTCAACAATGAAACTACAAGCGACAACGTTGACAAGACGAACGAAATTTCTCAATCCACAGGGGCCACCAAAGAGATGACAGCACCTGATAATCCATGTGGTTCTTTGGTTCATGAAACCGGTGACACACCATGTTATTCTACAGTTAAGGTACGACATTTCTTATTGCTCATTGTGTCGCCTTCTCAATTCTGTTCATTGATTCCACGGCCATGCTGAGGCTGATGTTGCATTCTTGATGCTCCTTCACCGCAGTTGGGCTAAACCAACATATCCTTAATCCAGGTCTTTTTAATCCGGATAAATTTCCTTCCACCTTATTTAGTTTGTTCAGCCTACCTGAATAATCTTCTATTAACTTGCACTCGTTGTTTACGCTGATTGGGGTTATCTTCGTTAACGTTATCGCGTTTGTGGCATTTTTTGAATAACTTGTGGACATTTTTTACTTATCGCGGTTTCGTTGCTAAACAACTTACTTCATATGCTCATTTAGTGAGTATTTATGTCGTCAAATACGTTTACTTTATTCGATATATTTTACTTGATATCGGCATTTCGAGTGAGTGACTATTGTTTGACATCCCAGGTATGGCTGCGCTTGATGTGCATGTTGACAAGGTGCCTACCTGTCTATTATCCACTACCTCGTCCATACTGGTTCCAGGAGACAGTTTGTCGTTGCTGGAGTGGACGAGGTGCACTGTCCTTGTAGTCGTGCTAGGCTCAAAGAGCGGTTCCATGCATCCAGTATGGAGCGGACTACGATTCAGTCACCGCCTTGTGTGCGCTTGATTCCCCAAATACAGCGTGCTTGTGTTTGTCTGTGAAGGAGTGTGGGCCGGCTCCGTTGATGAAACGTGGTTCCCATCCACATGCCTCCCGGTCTTATTCCTTCGGGTTTACACTGGATATGGAGTGTGTGGTTGTAGCTGTGAGTGGTGCACCGCAAGCCATCCATAGTCCATCTGTAGGCTCAGGCGTCCTGTGACTGTCCCTGTGGAGGCCACAGTGACAGGCAAATCTGAAATCGGGTGCCACCAACTATATATATATATATATATATATATATATATATATATATATATATATATATATATATATATATATATATATATATATATATATATATATATATATATATATATAACCTATAGGAATAGACATCGAGACATTTAAATTCGTGCAGTTAGGATCAAAGAAAATGAGCAAAATTCGCAACATATGGAAAAAGAATTAATGATTGAAATAATGAAGAACATCGGTGTATTCTGCTTTTCATCACACGCCATTTTTCCCTTTATTCTTCTTTTAAAAGTTAGTTTTTGAAATCGGATATTCACACAAACATGCGTACATTGCTTCCATTGCATCGGGGTTCGCGAAGTTTTCGTCGAGCCTTCTGAGCCACTGGCATTCTTCATCCTTGGGTCACCAACCAGTTAGACTTACTGAGCCGGCGATGGCGGTCTTGGTGTTAGTGTTTTCATGCTGCGCCACCACCACACGGCCTTTTCTGCTGTGGCCCTTTGAGCGCAAACTGTGCGCGTGTGGTAAGCGCTCATGAGGCATACGTTGGACTTGGCGAATCTGTCTTAATTGGCGTAGCATTTCAAGTCCATGGACTGGAAGACCCGTCTTGCCCCAGGCGCGGTCTCCAATCTCCTCATTGCACACTTGATGTTGACACTGTGCACGATTGATTTTCCGAAAACAGTCACTGCCAGAGCGCGAAATCCTCGGCATGTTATCTACATAAAGCGACCAGGATTCGCATCCATACAACAGCACCGCGCGGACACTGGCATTGTAGACTCTGCCCTTTAACACGAGCGAATTGTAGGTACGACGCCATAAATGCCTCAAGTTGGTAAAATCCGATCGAGGTTTCGGGAGACGGAGGTACCTGCTTTCCAATAGTGCCGTCGGCAGAAATGCGGCTCTCAAGGTAGACAAAACTGTCCACTTATTCGAGCTGTATGCCTTCGATAGTGAGCTGAGGAAGGGGCGATTGGTACTCCTTTAACAGCACTTAACACTTGGAGGGAGCAAAACACATACCATATCTAAACACTTCAAACACCAGTCTGTCACAGACCACTTGCACACATTGAGGGTCGTCACCGAGCAAGGCGATATCCTCAGCGTAATCTAACTCGGTTGCACGATCACCTGGAAGGACCTCAATTCCAAAACTGCAATCCTTTTAAAGCCCCCAACAGAACTTTTTCGATCGGAAAGTTGGAAAGAAATGGAGACATAGGGCGTCCTTGTTGCATACCACTATTGACAGGGAAGAGTGCAGAATGTTCGCCGTAGGCCCTCAATGCCTGAAGTATGGAGGTATAGTGACCGAAGTATATCGATGTACTTTTTGGGAACTCATTCTTTAGCAGGCGTGCCCATAAAGCAGGTCGGTCTACTGAGTGGAATACGACGCGAGTGTCCAAGAAGGCGCCGATAATGGATCTGCGGTAGAGATGACGATCTTCCACGAGCTGTGAATATTTGATCCACATATCCCGACTGGGATGAAAACCAGCCTGCTCCTCCCGGTAGCGTGTTTCACGTGTTATGACTTGCCAGCGGAGCAGCTGATGTCAAACTGATCCCTCTGTGATTAGGTCATACAGTACGGGAACCTTTCTTGAAGATTGTTAATGGGACGGAACCAGCCAATGAGAGCGTTTTACGCTGAGGGCTATTGATTTGGCCATAAATTGAATGTACCGTTAGTTGGACGTTAAGCAAATATACTTGCCAGCCGTACGCCGGTCTCCTGCTTTGGGAAGTCGGGCTGATCAGAGTGCACGCTAGCAGCAGGTCATCGGTAGGTCAGCCGAAACCATAACATATATTTTTTGGCGACGGAAGGTAGTGGATCAAGATGTCAATTTCAGCGGAAGACCTGAAAATCATTTTGTTGCAGCAACAGCAGCAATTTGAAACAGCACAGCTGCGTATGATTGAAACCCTCACCCAAATGTTATCTGTGCAGCCTACGGTCGTTCAGAACAATGGGAAGCCTTCGGCGGATGCGATGATCAGTAGTGTTAATGAGTTCATATTCGATCCTGACTCAGGATTAATATTCGATGCGTGGTTCAGGCGCTATGAAGATGTTTTCAGGGCAGAGTTGTCAGGTCTCGATGATGCATCTAAAGTTCGCCTTTTGTTACGAAAGCTCGGAACGGTTGAACATGACAGATACATTAACTACATTTTGCCAAACAACGCGCATGATTTCAGCTTTGATGATACAGTTGCTCGACTCACAGCGTTGTTTGGAGACCAGTCGTCTCTTTTCAATAACCGATACAATTGTCTAAAGCTATGCAAAAAGGACAATGACAGTCTTATTGCTCACGCGGCGATAGTCAAACGTGAATGCCAGAAATTCAAACTGAAGTCGCTCACGGAAGATTAGTTCGAGTGTTTGATACTAGTATGCAGTCTACAGTCCCCAAAAGACGCCGAGATACGAACGAGAATACTTGGTATGTTGGAACGCGACACAGATGTTACATTACAAAACGCCATTGCTGAAGCCCAAAGAATCATGAATTTAAAGCACGATACGGCTATGGTGGAAGGTTCGAGAGCACATTCCGCAGATATATCTGTCCAGCAAATTTCAGGAAACAACCCACCGACCGCTCAACCTAGCAGATATCCACAATCCAAACCCCCATCACCTTGCTGGCAATGCGGAGGATGGCATTTTGTGAGATGGTGTCCTTTCAGCAAACATGTTTGTCAAAGGTGCTTTAGACGGGGGCACAAGGCGACCCACTGCAGATTCAAAACATCATTTAGATCGTCATGTGATACTCGAAAAGCAGGTTACCGAAGGTTCGCGACAAGAGTAAACGCTAACTATACGGACGATGTTAAAGATAGAAGAAAGTTCGTCACTATTACCATCAACGGAAGAGTAGCGCGTCTGCAGATTGATACGGCTTCCGATATTACAGTCATTACGGAAAACTTATGGAAAGCTATCGGTTCACCTGACATTAAACCAACTAACCATAAAGCGAAGAGCGCATCAGGTACGAGTCTAAACTTGATCGGTCAGATTGAATGTGAGTGTCGCTTTGCCAACTTCACCGCTTGGGGAACTATTTTCGTCACAACACACAAGAATTTGAACCTCCTTGGATTAGACTGGATTGAGCGATTCAACCTCTTAGATGTTTTCATTAATCAAATCTGTGCAAGTGTACACTTACACAAACCAAAAGTCCCCAAGGCAATGACAATCGAACAAATTCGAGAGAAATATGCACCTGTTTTCCGTGAAGGACTTGGTAAGTGTACAAAGTTGCAAGCCTCATTGTCCTTAAAACCCGATGCTGTTCCTGTTTTCCGTGCAAAGCGGCCAGTACCTTACGCAGCAGTCCCAATTGTTGACCAGGAACTTGATCGTTTGGAGAAACTTGGGGTTATCTATGCAGTGAACTACTCTTCTTGGGCGGCTCCAATTGTGGTTGTCAAGAAGCCGAACGGCCAGATCCGAATATGTGCCGACTTTTCTACTAGGCTGAATGAAGCGTTAAACACGCATCAGTATCCTCTGCCAGTCCCAGATGATTTGTTCTCGAAACTAAACGGGGGTCAGTGTTTTGCCAAGCTAGATCTATCGGATGCGTACTTACAAATAGAAGTTGATGAAGCTTCTAGAGAATTACTGACGATAAATACGCACCGAGGTTTGTATCAGTATCATCGACTTCCATTCGGAGTTAAGTCCGCGCCAGCAATTTTTCAGCAAATCATGGATACTATGCTAACAGATGTAGATGGTGCTGCCGCATATTTGGACGATATCATTGTCGTCGGAACTAACCCAGATGACCTTTTCAGAAAGCTGCACTTAGTACTTGATCACATACAAGAGTACGGATTTAGACTTCGCCCAGAAAAGTGCACGTTTTTCATGGACTCCATTAATTTTCTTGGCTTCATAATTGACAAGAACGGTAGACGTCCAGATCCGTCAAACATTGATGCTATAAAAAAGATGCCACCTCCCAAAGATGTGCCTACTCTGAGGTCCTTCTTAGGACTCGTCAGTCATTACAGTCAATTTCTGCCACATATGCACAGCGTGCGTGGACCACTCAATGAGTTACTCACCAAGGACAAAC